GGCCCCAGCCCCAGCGGGGATCTTTTCTGTTAGCCATAGCAGCGGGGTATTTATTACAGCCCGGAGGACTTTAGCCCTTAATCAACCAGGAAAGTAGCAGCAGACACCTCCGATCTCAACAGGCAGCGTAGAACACGGGGAGGGCCCCAAAATAATGGTGAGTGGAGCACTTCAGCTAACACAACCTGCTCCCCCCTGTGCCCCTCCATCCAGATTTTAAAGCTGATTTGTTTGCTTGTTTGTTTTTTTCTCTCTTCCTCCTTCCCTCCTTCATGCTACAGGCAAAATTTCTGTCCCAGGATCAAATTAATGGTATGTACAGTTTTATTCTGGTTTTGTGGGGACTTTTTATTAGCAAGATCAGCTTAAAAAATATAATTTTTTCAATTTCTAGATAGATAAATATAGATACATATAGATCTCTATATGTATAGATACGTATAGATCTCTATTAAAAATGGCACTTCTCCCTAAAGTGTCTCAATCTGGGTTTGTGCTCCCCACTTACCCTCTTCCCAGCTCTCGAGCTTGCTCCAAAACCAGAGAAATCTCCCCGATTTTGTTAAAGACAGTGCTGGGTACAGGCAGGGAACCGAAACCACCCGCAGATCCACACGCTGGATCGCACGGAGACGAGCGGAGGTCAACCAGCAACCTCCCAGCCCCATAAACACACCAGCCCTGGCCGAGCTACTGGGGACCAGGAGAAATTTCAGGTTTCACATATGATGGGAGAGAAGGTGAAGGAGGAAGAGGAGGAAGGAGAGGGTGCAGGAAGCACAAATTCTCATTGCGAGGCACCGGGGCTCTCCCTGGGAAAGGGGACCCCCTGCCTGGGGCTGGGATGAGGAAAGGTTTGCTACGAGAATGGCAGAAGAAAGCTGAAATAAGAGTATTATTGCAAATCTGATAATCTGCAGCGCCCTCGGGCTCAGCAGCTCTGCAGGATTGATGCAGGGGAGGAGGTGACCAGGGCAGGGGGAGGCCACGGCACCCCTGGGGCACCCAGCACCCACCACTGCACCCACGGGGCACTCAGGACCCACCATGGCACCCCCGGGGCACCCAGCACCCACCATAGCACCCCTGGGGCACCCAGCACCCTGCACCCAGGTCTAGGGCCAGAGAGGATGAGGAGGGGGAGCGAAGGGTGATGGCACCAAAACGGGCTGATTTTCATTTCGCTGCCCGCTCTGCAGACAGGACTGTCCCCGCGTGGCACCAGCCGCCCGTTAGTGCCGAGCGGAGCTCGCCGCCGCGCCGGGAGCACAGTGGGAAGAGAGGATGGGAGATGCCAGCCTTATCTAGGTCAGCTGCAACCCGCATTTATTTATCTGCAAACTGCAAAGGCAGCGCTCGAGGGGGAAGGGGCGTGCAGGCAGACAGGGAGCACAGCAAGGGAGTGGAGGTGGCACCGCTGGCACGCGGCAGGGCGGGCAGCTCTCCTCCCCACCGTGCAGGCACCCAACGGCACTCACCGATGATGCCACATTCCCAGTTCTTCTGTCTCTTATCAAAATCCAGCCGTCCACCTGCACGGTGGCAGGCAGAGCCAGGGGCGATGCCAGGCCCTGCACGGACCAAGCCAGCATCCTCCACCGCTCCTTGAGGCTCCCTCCTTTAGCATCCCCTCCTGCGCAGAGAAAAGTACTTTTGAAACAGCATTCTGCATATTTGGAGGCCTGACTCCACTTGCAGACTTGCCTCATTAGGCTGAAGGACCCCAATTAGCTCAGCTCTTCAGAAATCTGGATTTTAATTGCCCTTGGCACTTTACCCCAGGTCCTCCCCCACAGTCCATCATCTTCCTCGAAACCAGACACCCCGACCCAGACACAATATCCTCGCTGGAACCCTCCCAACGCCGCCTGGCCGGGCAACGGGAGAAGAAACTTCATTGGTAGCACAATGTAATCTTACATGGCATTAACAGAGAGTTTTGGTTTTTAATTAAGAGTTCAAGGAATGTTTTTCCCTGTACGACAAGAAACAAAAAGGCAAGATAAAAGCCTCCGACCTGATGGCAGTGATGCGGTGCCTGGGAGCCAGCCCGACGCCGGGAGAGGTGCAGAGACACCTGCACTTGCACAAGATCGGTAAGAAAAGTGCAGCACTTGAATAAAACACGCTGGATTGTGGTCAGGGAAATTCAACTTTTCTCTGGCCAGGAGACAACACGCGAAGACAAGGAGTTTGCCTGGAGCCCAGTAGATAATATTCACTCTTCAGGTGAAACAGCCCAGGCACTACAGCAGCACGAGCAAGGGCAGTCAGCAAAACCCAGTCTGATGTGCCAGATGGTGAACGAAGTCGACCATCAAATGGTTTGGGTTGGAAGGGCCCCTAAAGACCATCCAGTTCCAACCCCCCTGCCATGGGCAGGGACACCTTCCACTACACCAGGTTGCTCAAAGCCTCGTCCAACCTGGCCTGGAACACTTCCAGGGATGGAGGTACACAGATTAAAATAAGTGCCGTTAAAAAAAGAAAAGCCTCAAGAGCAGCAGGACACGTACATAGGAATTATGGATTTTGAGGCTGAGAAACTGTCCAGTCCAACCAGCAGAGGTAGAAGAGCAAAGAAAGATATTCCTCTGCAGATACATATAAATAAATCCAAAGCCCAGCACAAAGAGCAAAGAATGATGAGATAAGGTGGGTTGGATTAAAAATTCTGGATGCAGAGGTTTCAGAGCACAAGTCTAGGAAAGCTATAAATGGGCTTTTGGGCCAGGAGAAAGCCCCCAGGAGTGGGTCTGCCCTGGTCCAGATCAGCATCAGGCAAGAGGGAAAGGGTGCCCCAGGAAGGGGAACTGGGAAGGAGAGGAGAGGGATGCTCAGGTCTGGATCCAGACTACAAAACTGAGCCATTCCTCAAGAATCTGCTCTTATTTTTCCAGACAGAAATGCTGAGCTGGATTTCTCCACTTTCCTGAATATCATGTACAGGCAGACGAAGCAGGAGGAACCCGAGACGGAAATCCTCACGGCCTTGTCCATGATAGACAGGCAGAAGAAAGGCGTTATCACCGTTTCGGAGCTGAGAGCCAAGCTTACAAGACTGGGAGAAAAGCTTTCCGAGGAAGAAGGTATTTTGCTATTCAAAGACGTTATCAAATGCTCCCCATCATCCTCCTCCCTTCCTGATTTTCCTCCGTAGCCAGTCTGGGATCAGCTGGGAAGCCAGGAAGGACCTGTACAACCTTCGGTGGGGGGAGATGGGGTGTCACCAGGCTCCTTCCTGCCCCAGCCACACCATGAGCTCATGCTTTCATCAAGCAGGGCCCCCATGACACTCGCGACAGTGCAACCACCTCACTGCTGCCAGCCCCTCCCCACGCCCCCGTCGCGAAGCAGAGATTCTGTTCTCTGCAGAAGAGGCAAACCAGCTGCCCGTGAACCAAGAGACCTCATCCCTTTCTCCAGTTGTTTTCCACAGGGTGGTTTCTCACCCCGAGATGCTTTGCTGTGTTTACAATGCTGCGGGGATGCTGTACGGGGCATGCGGGGCACGGCAGATCCCCAGGGATGCTGTACGGGGCACGGCAGGGCCCCCGGGATGCTG